ACCCCCCTTTTGGTTGTCCTGGTGATACCTTCTCTATTATGCTTTAAAAAATATGCCAGATTGGCAAGCCCCAGAAATAAGAAATAGATTTGATGGGAGTCACCTAATTAAGAAGTAGCCCAGCCGGTGTTGCGCAGTGGTTGAGAGTTGACCCATGAGTCAGAAGGTCACAGGTTTGGTTCCGGGTCAGGGCACATGCCCGGGTTGCGGGCTCGATCCCCAAAAGGGGATGTGCAGGAGGCAGCCAATCAATGGTTCTCTCTCATCATTGATGTTTCTATCTTTCTATCCCTCTCCCTTCATCTCTTCAAAAATAAATAAAAACATATTTTTTTTTAAAAAAAGTATTGTCCTGAATTATAATGTTGGTCTTTTCAAATTCCTCCCCATGAGAGCGAAATCAGGACTCTGTCCCCAGGACAGTAGGAAGAAGCATCACCATGTTCTGCAGGACCTGAGCTACTGGCCTTAAAACTTCATGAAAAGAGTAGATGAAAACATGTACTTTTAGCAAAAATAATAATAAAAAGAGGGATTTTTCATTCGTGGGACAATTTGTCGAGGATTTTCTTTTCTTCAGGGGACAGTCGCTCAATTACCAGGAAAGAAGACACGGGAGGAGAATCTCACTTTCAGTTCAGTTTGATGACTTAAAGATGGAAGGACATTTTCTCAGAGAATTTTAAAGTTTAAAAGAATGTGAATGTTCAGAGGGATTACAGTTACCTTGACAGTAAGATAGAAATAACCATTTTCCAAATCCAAACTAGAAAACATTGCCCTGTGATACATGATAGGTGATTTCAGAGGCTGATGAGTTGAGAAGGGTTTGGTTTGGGTACTACATTTTTAAATTTACTTTTTAGATAAAGAAATCATAGTAAGTATAAAAAGGAAAGTTTGCAGGCTCAAAGTATAAAAGGTTTTTCACTCCTCTCTGAGAAGTCCTCAACCTACATTTTGGTTATGCTGCTTTGAGCTGGTTACTTGCTCACAGCAAATTGGTAAAGCTTAAAACAAAGACAATGACACATTCATCTTTTAAAAAAATAAGTTACAAAAATTAACTCAAAATGGGTCATGGGCTTTAATGTAAAACATAAAACGATGAAGCTTTCAGAAAAAAAAAAAAACACATAGGAGAAAATCTTCTAGACCTAAGGCTAGGTGAAGATTTCTTAGCTTTGACACCAAAAGTGCCACACACACACACACACACACACACACACACTGGACTTCACCAAAATAAAATATATATATGTAAAAGACCCTGTTATAAAAATGAATAGATAAACTGAAGAATTGGAGTTAATATCTACAAACCATAATGTCTGACATAAGATTTGTATTTAGAATATATAAAGAAGTCTCCAAACTCAACAGTAAAAAGTAAAAACAAACAAACAAACAAAAAAAACACACACCACAAAAAACAAAAATCAAACAATTAGAAAGTGGGCAAAATATTTGCATAATATTTACCAAAGAGGGTAGGTATACAGACTGCAATAAGCACATAAAAAGATGTTCAACATTATTAGTTATCAAAGAAATTAAAATCAAAGCCATATTGAGATATCACTACACAACTAAAATTAAAAATAATGAAAACACTAAATGCTAGCAAACATGTGGAGAAACAGGATTACTCATGATTTGCTGGTGGGATATAAAATGGCACAGGTATTCTGGAAAATAGTTTGGCAGTTTCTTATAAAACTAAACATACCTTACTATGTGATCCAGTAATTTTACACTTGGGCACTGATACTAGAGAAATGGAAACTTATGTTCACACAAAAACCCATACACAAATATCCATTGCAGCTTTATTCATAGCAATCAAAACTGGAAAAAAATGTCCTTCAATTGGTGACTGGGTAAGCAAACTGTGGCAACTCCATACCATGGAATATTATTCAGAAAGAAAAGGGAACAAGCAGGTTGGATACACACAGTAACTTGGATAGATGTCATACTTTTATTACCTACATTGAGTGAAAAAAGCAATCTCTTAATTTCATTTATGTAGTATTTTTGAAATAACACAATTGTAAGTATGAAGAACAGATTAGTGGTTGCCAGTGGTTAATTATGGGGAGAGGGGATGGGTGCAGATACAAGCAGGTATAATGAGCAGGTCTTAGGGTAATGAAACAGTTGTGTATCTTTTTTTTTTAATATATTTTATTGAGTTTTTACAGAGAGGAAAGGAGAGAGATAGAGAATTAGAAACATCGATGAGAGAGAAACATCGACCAGCTGCCTCCTGCACACTCCCCACCGGGGATGTGCCCGCAACCAAGGTACATGCCCTTGACCGGAATCGAACCTGGGACCCTTCAGTCCGCAGGCCGACGCTCTATCCACTGAGCCAAACCGGTTTCGGCAGTTGTGTATCTTGATTGTGACAGTGAATCTATACATAGGATGCACATAAATACGTGAATCTGTACATATGTAAAATTGCATAGAACTACACACACACACGTGCATGTAAAAGAGTGGAAATTTAAATAATCTCTGTGGATGTAGCAACATTAATTTCTTGGTTTAGATTCCACTGGAGGAGATGGGGTGAAGAGTACTTGGGACCTTCCTGTACATTTTTGGAACATCCATGAATCTATAATTATCTCAAATTAAAAATGTTTTTAAAAATTAAACAATTTTTGTAAAGCTCACACTATGAATCAACTCCTTTGGGGTTACACATCACCATTCTGCCCCTTGGTCCTTTTAGTTCCTATCCTGCGAAGAGCTCTGGCACTAATCTTGTAGTTATCTCTCTCATCTTCTATCCGAGATCCACATATTTGGAAACAGAGAAAAACTTCCCTTAAAATATCATTTGTCAGCGTCAGAGTTTGCTAAGGGTGGCTAGAATAAATCAAATCAATGATAAATTGTATACAAGTTAGTATCATAAATTTCACTGAAAAATAATTCAGTCTGCAAAGAAAAAGCCAGACAACAACAAACATTGTTCCTACTGTCAGTGCAATGAACTATGTGTGGCTTATTTTTTCTTGCTACGGAGCAGGCGAAGGAATGGAGTGACATAAAAGCAGTGTATCTGGGAGTTGATGCTCTTTTTCTGGGATGTAGCTAATGGGGAGCAGAGTTGGTTATTATGACAAGTTCAAAGGGAATTTATATGAAGGGTGACTACTTCAATAAGATAAACATATGTTCAAAGACAAAATCCAATAATGTGTCATAGAACCAAACAAATTAGGCAAGTAGTTCTGCCATACATATCTTAGCCTAATGTTACTAATTTCAATAGTCATAAAAACAGCTTGGAACTTAAGTCAGGATATTACTGAGGTTACTTTTTATAAGGCAACTATTCTCTAAATCCAGTAGCTCTTGTTTGTACAGTAATGTGATATTGTATAAATAGAATTACTTTGAAATTTTTACTTATTTGTTTAAAACTAGACATGCGATTCTAAAATTCAAGTGAAGACTAAATATGCAGAAAATCAGAAACAGTTTTAAAGCAGAAGAACAATGGAGGTGGGGTAGAGACAAGCTGTATCACACAATAAATAGTATTATAAAACTCGAATAATTAAAAATAGTTTGTACTAGCAAATGTAAAACTAAACAGATTGATAAAAGAGAAGAGAGAATAAAGAAATAGAAACAAAGTACTTACTATAGGAAACTCTTGTACTACAAAGCTAATACTAATCAGGGGGAAATAATAGATTTTAGCAAATAATGTTGGGGCAATTGATGAGCCACTTTAAAAAAATCAAATGCCTACTTTACTTTTTAGATCAAAATAATTCCAAATACTAGACTTGAAGTCTTAAATTTTAAACAAAATAAAAATTTTCAGGTTTTAAAAAAATAGTCTTGGAGTGAGTCAAGACAAGGCTCAAACTTCATATCAGAATAAGAAGAACGCATTTGAATAAACAATAAATAAGTATATGAAGCAAACATTTCAACATGGCAAAATACCAACAAAGAGCCAAAATCAAATGTAAACTTGAATAAAAAGATGCAAAAATAGAGAAAATATAACTTTAATATGTAAAGAACTTTTGTAAACAAGATTAACTCTCCAAAAGAAAACTGCATTAATAACATAATAGCTATTATAAATCATGTTTGCTCTGTTCTAGCCATTTCTTTATTTTATCTATCCAGCTAATCTGTTTATTTGCTGTCTAGCTATCTGTCTAAACACATATTTCAAATGATACGGCAATTCTATAAGATGTGTACTATTCTCTCTCAATTGCTCAGTTGAGGAAACTAGGTCACAAGAGTCCCTGAGCAACTGGTTCAGAATCTCATAGCAAATAGAGCTATAGTGTTGACTCCAAAACTAACAAACAGAATTTTGGATAGACTTTTCAAAGAAAAACGTGCAAATAGATTTAAAAATTATTTTTAGCCCTATCGGTGTGAATCATTGGTTGAGCACCAACCTATGAACCAGGAGGTCATGGTTCAAAACCAGGAGAGGGCACATGCCCAAGTTGCAGGCTCAATTCCCAGTGGAAGGCATGCAGGATGCAGCCAATTAATGAGTCTCTCTCATTGTTGATGTTTCTATCTCTCTTCCTTTCCCTTCCTCTCTGAAATCAATAAAAAATATTTTTTAAAAACATTTTTAAATTCCAGCTTCACCAATAACAGATTTAAAAATGGTAGTCTGAATTAGCATTTTTCATCTACTAAATTAAGAACGATGAAGAAGTTTTATTATATAATGTGGTGGCAAGGGAGTGGAGAAACAGACACTCTGACACAATGTAAATTGCCATTATTTGTTTAGGGGCATTTGGCAATACTTATTAAATGAAAAATGTATGTATTCTTTGTTGTAGTTTTCATACTTTCAAAAATATTTATACTCATGTTGGCAAAAATCTTTGTATGAGGATATTTATTTTAGTACTAGAGGCCCAGTGCATGAAATTCGTGCATGACGAGGGGTCCCTCAGCTCGGCCTGTACCCTCTCCAATCTGGGACCCCCTTGGAGAATGTCTGACTACCTCTAGCAACCCAGGACTGCTGGCTCCTAACTGCTCGCCTGCCTGCTTGCCTGATCGCCCCTAACCACCTTTGCCTGCCTGTCTGATTGCCCCTAACTGCTCCCCTGTAGGCTTGATCACCCCTAACCGCCTCTGCCTTGCCCCACACCCAGGACCCAGGATTCCCTCCTCTGGCTGGTTGCAGGCATCCAGGTCCCGGGCCGGCTTTGCTCGAGCTGGCTGCAGCTGCAGGGGACCGTGGGCAGCAGCTTTGCCCAGGCCACAGACTCAGGCATCTGGGACTGCGAGGCGGGTGGCTTGTCCCTCTTCTGGGCTGCAGGTGTAGGCTCAGCTGCTGGCACCTGGGACCATGGGACGGGCAGCTTGTCCCTCTCCCGGGCTGCAGCCCCAGCTGCTGGCTTGTCCCTCTTCTGGACTGCAGCCTGGCTGGTCCCCATTCCTCTCTCCCCAGTGTTGAGTGTCTGAGCAGTTCTGGCGCGAGGGCATGAGGGCATGAGGGCATGATGACCATTTGCATATTAGCTCTTTATTATATAGGATACTACGCAGTAGTAAAAAAAACCAGAAATAATCTAAATTTGAAAAAACACAAAGCTGCTTAAGTAAAATTTGGTATATCCATATAATGGTATGCTATGTGGCCATTTTACATGGGATAAAAGCAAATCACAGAAAGGAAAATATAGGTTTGCTTGATATAATGAGTGTGTGTTAGAATACTTGCCTCTGTGAATGAACTGTGGCACTAAAGGATAAATGAGGAAGGAAGACTTCTACTGCATGTTATTTATATTATGTAAAATGTTTATGATTTGCATGGATAATAGTCACCCCTCCCCACCAGCTCCTCACCCCCACAGTGACTTTCTGATCTCTCTGAGGTCTAGAAATGGAGTTCTTTTCCCTCTGCATCCTCTTCTCTCCCTGCCTCCTAAGAACTATCAAGTCTGTGACACACTTGGTCCCTGTAACCAGGCATAAAATTATTTGAAGAAATGGATTTCTTAACTTATGTTCCCAATTCTCTGTCAAAGAGGTTTCTAGAAATATTCATAACCCAGTTAAGTGCCCCTTTTTCAGTACTCTAGTCCTTTTAAGATTTCACCTGCTGAGATTCTTGTGTATTATAAAGAGAAACATAATCAATTACATCTACACTTTTATACTTTTATAACATCTGGTAGTAGTTCTGTTTTATTGAACAATGAAACAATTAAAAGTGCAAATAAGAGA